TTTTATCCTAATAGTACTTATTATTCATTTCAAGAAGATTTTTTTTTTTTTTTTACATTGTTTATATTAAACTCCAAATTGTATATTGACTACTAAATAAATGTATTCTTTATTTACTAATATAAAAGGTTATTGTAATGAAAAACAAACCAAAGGATTCACATTATTTATGTGATATGCACTTAGTTGTTAATTATATTATTTTAGTAGTCTTAAATGTGCTTGTTTCCTACACAATACAGAGAGATAATCTGTGAACTGAATCATATGATTGCAGTACTGCCACAAACCATAGGATTGACACACAAGGGATGTCCCTGTTGTGTTTCTAGGCAATAGGTGCACTAGTGCAGTGGTTTTTAAGGACTTTCAGGACAGGAACATGTTGTCATCATAGGGTTACTGTATAAAAAAAAAAAAGGCTGAGCATAGCTATCAACTACCTGATTTTCACAAGGATAGAGGTAAAACTAGGCGATGGAGAAGCTGACAAAAACCAACGTAATGAGCGTTTCATAGTTTCAGAGAGATGAAAGTGCAGAGATGTGTCACCACATTTAAGCATTTTTCCTTTCCTCTGAAAGAAAGTTCTTTTACTGTGAATGTATCAAATGTAAACTCTGATAACAATGCAAAACAAATGGCACAGCAAGTTAGGCAACGTGGAGTTGTCAGCATGAATGGATTAGTATTTCTTCCCTCCACCTAGCGCAGCAAGGGTTAAATGTCTAGGGGTAAGGAATAATCAGATATACTTGCCTTTCTTCTTTCCTGGGCAGCCTGCGCTCTCTTCTGTTGCTAGTATGTTTGCAGTCTTTTGACATCCTCACGTACAAAGCAGGACCGACTTCTTGGGACCAGTCAATTGGCAGGGAGGAAGCCTGCAGCAGCAAGGAACAGGGTAAGTATGTCTGCTTTTGCGGGGCAGCTGTAAATGCAGGCAGGATCCTCATTATTGAGAGGAGACATAAAATGGGATGTTGGTACCAACTTATCAAAATGAAAAATAGGAGGGATTTGGCTGGTTTTCTTCCCCCCCAATAGTGGCACAGTGGCTAAGCCATCCACGGAGATCCGGTGCCTAAAATGGGTGCCCACAGATGAGTCACCCAATCCAGCCCTAACTCCACCTAGAGGAAACCTGTCATTTTCCTCTCATTCTGAAAATGTTTGTGGCCTAGCTGTCATAATGTTTCAATGGCTCCGATGCTTTGAAACAAGTATGCAGATAAGGAAATCTGACTGTCACTGGAACATCATGCCAGCCCACCAAATGCATTTACAGAAGGAGGTCCACAGTGGCAGCCCTTACATTTTTCTTGACCGCTTTTCTTTAATTACCAATTAGGGTGGTATTGGCCATGATGAGTTGCATAGAAGTGGTCCAGCAAGTCTAAAAATGAATTACTCTACAGATTACTGATTGAGAATCACTGCACTAATGCACCTTGTGATGCTATATAATGTTTGCCAAAAGCAGTGGTGACCAGCTGGAGCACTGGTAAATGAAACCAGTTTATTTTGCTAAGGAATGACTAGATTATTTTTACATATTCCTCTAATGGAACAGAGCAAATGGCAAGTAGCAGGCACATCATCATTACTCTATATAAAGCTTATAAATAACACTGTTTTGTAAACAAGGTAGTTAATGATTTAATACAAATAACCCTGACATAAAACATTACTTATTCTAGTCTAGTTTTACTTGGATGACTAAGCAGCATGTTACTGATATGTCTGAATGTTTCAGCATGCTGGAAATAACTGCATTGTTCTCTACAACTGTGTTTGAACTTTGGCTCCACTGCATTATTTAGCTATGCAGGGTGACCGAGGTGTTTGGGGTTGGTCATACTATTATTTTAGGAACCTTGACATATCCACCTCCAACATTCTGCTCACATTTTCAGTGTCTCTTAAAGTATATCTGCCACAAACCTGGACAATTCAAACTGAACACATTATGGAAAATGTACACTGACTGGCCAAAAAGTCACCACCTGGATTTAAAAGAGGACAATGGCCTAACCTTTTTTGGCTAGAGTTCTCTTCAGGGTTACACAAGGACATATATTAATGTCCTCCAATGGCCCAAAACTCAGTATATAGCAGGCTTTTGCCCTCTATATGCGGAGAGTGCAGAGCCGCACAGCAGCTGGGACGGATCCTGACAATACTGTCAAGATCCACTCCCCCTGGGTGATTGACAGCTGGCTCTGCCTCTCTAGTGGCAGAGCCAGCTATGCCACCCCCTCCCCCATCCATTCCATTAGTCAGCGCCGGAGAAACGAAGAGGGGAGGGGGAGAATCCCTGTGGGCAGCGGTAAGCGACAGTCGCCAATCTCTGCAGGGAGGGGATCAGGAAGTTGGAAATGGGTGGTATGTGTTCACTGACTTCCCGATCAATAGAGCCGACCTGTGACCACTTCAGTGTCACAGGTCAGCTTAAATTATGGGGATGAGTATTTTTCACTCATCACATAATTCTCCTTTTAACTAAGCAAAAAGGGAAGAGCTATTGGAGTTGCTTCAGTTGGTCAGGTCTAGGTTCAGCAATGTTGTGTCGAAAATGAGGTTGGTTACCTACCTGAATATACTTAATGACCAGGTGTTTCCATCAATAGATTTTTTTTTGTTCCCTGATGGCACATTGGGCATACTCCTAAGATGACAATGCCAGGATTTATTAGGCTCAAATTGTGAAAGAGTGTTTCAGGGAGCATGAGACGTCATTTTTACACATGGATTGGCCACCACAGAGTCCGGATCTTAACCTCCTTGAAAATCTTTGCAACTCTGGATGGAAATAAATGTTGTGACATTGCATAAGCCTATTGAAATGATTACATGGCAAATGCATGCAGTATCAAACCTAAAGGCCGTCCAATAAGGGTATGTGACTTTTTTTTTTTTACCAGGCAGTAAGAAGTAGAAGTTTTCTAAAGTTAAAAGTGCATGTGAAAATTATTTGGAGATGCAGAGATCTAGGCAAAGCAATTTACATACCAATCTTGACTTCTCTTGTATAAGCCAAATTTGTTCTGGGTGCTTCCAGCCCTTGAATTTTCTTATTGGTCTTCACTAACCTATAGGGAGTCTCAGGAGGTGAGAGAAGCCAAACCTGACTTTTTCAGGATTGGTCAACATTTGCTTGTAAGTTTACTTGCCTATATCTCTAGAGCCTCTTGATTGTTTTGACATGGTTTCCACTGATCTCTGCTTGTACTGTTTTTCATCATATGCTCTGTTTGAATCTGTTTGTGGCAGTTTAATTTAGAGTGTGTTTTATATGGATCTCAGTAGCACATACTGATTTCTCTATCAGTATAGACTTCCTGTTCTTGGGTAAACTTTACCTATGAGGTCCAATATCTGCTTTATTTCTAATTTTGGCATATACCAAAATGCATCTGCTTTATTCCATATCATCCAATTTCAAGACGGTATTTTTGTAATAGTAGTGTGCAGTGTTTTAAGGTTCATGTATGTCTGAAAAATGCACTCCAGGTTTTTTACTGGTTTCTGAACTATATTCCAAGAAGGACAAAGCTGTGAATGGCCCTTTTAGGAAAACCAACCATCAGACTCATGTCTAGTTAAGAACCCAAAGATATGTTATTAGCAGAAAGTACAACAATTGCATGTCTATTGTCCGCAGCAGTGGCCGCCTGACACTTTCAACAGACAGATCTTGGCAGAAATTGTGATTGTTTCTGTCAGAACGATCACTGTTTTTTTCCCTTTGATAAGCTGGCATTGGAGGTGTTTGGCATTGGCCCCCCCTACTTTCTCCATAGCCTAAATATATACATGTTTGCTTTGTATATTTGCCAATTGGCCGGTAGGCACGTATTAATCTGGCTGTGCATGGCTCCTCTTTTGGCCAATTACTGTGAATCAACCAAAATTTAAGTCGTTGGAGGCCCTGCCAACACCACCCAGCTCAACAACCATTGACTGAAAAATCAAAGGAGGCGGTGGGAAACAGTCCATTAACTGCAGTCGTTGCTCAGCTATTCTGCCAACTGCAGGTATAATAGCTGGCAGGGGAGATTTGTCCATCCACACAGTATAGTGGACGGGGGGCATCGCGTGAGTCCACTGGGCTGAGAAATCTTTGTGTGTGGCCAGCTTAAGTGGCTTGATTGTGCCTGCACTTCTTTCTTACTTCTAATATCTATGGCTGCACCCAGAAACTGGGTGATGTGAATAAACATTACCAGATTTTATTAAATCTTTTTAAACAAGCTTGTGTGGCCCATGTGACCATTTTAGGCACTGACTGCCTTTTTAAATGGAGTTGTCTTCGAGAGATCTTTAATTTTTGACTTTTAGCAATACCCATCCATTTGTGCCCTTATTTAATAAGCAAATGCAAAGAGCAATGATAGTAAAAGTGTAGTCACTCATAGCAATCAAGTCCTTCCTTCTCTCATGAGTTCAGAACAACCAGAAAAAATAACTATATTTTTATAAATAAGCCAGGTAACAGAACAATGCCCAAAGTATTGTAGCCCAGAATGTAATTCTTAAGTATTAGTGGAAAACATGTTAAGTTCCATCTTTTATTTAATATAAATGCACTTTTTTTTTATCAGAAGAGTTATTGCCTTTAAGCCATAATGATTGAGATTAATGGACAGCAAGTTTTTTTGATTGTAAAATAGTAAAATATTTATACAGCTATAGCTATATTATTCCCTTTTT